CCTTCAATTTTAAGGCAGTAAAACAACGACCTTCAGTTAACATCAATCGAGGCCATATGTTGACAAGGGATGCAAAATCACAGTTACACAAAAGAACTGGTCAGATTTTTCAGAAATCCCTTCAATTCTGATGTAAAATATGATGCCAAAAGACTGCAGATCTCCCATTTAGATAACCGGCAGATGTCTCGTAGGATTCCCAGAGAGTTTTGCTTTACACATAAATTTGTGCTCTTTTATTTTCATTTTGATTCACTTCAGTGTTGGTTCCTTTGATTCAAGTTGGCATTCGGCTTTTGGAATTTAAATAAATTCTCAGCAAAAAATTTTGTTTAAAAAAATACATATGTGTACATAGTGCTTGAAAATATCAATTTTTCCCTTACCTTAAACCTTTGGGAGTGGGCAAAAATTATGTTTTGTAATTTAGGCAGAATTGACAATCTGGGAACACCATATCTACATGTAATATTTATTCTGTTTGTTGGCGCTATATCCAAACACAAACGCATCTTAAGTGTCTTAACAGTGAAACAATTTCTAATTTTCTAAGTTTGCGAATAAAACTTCACACTTAAAATTAAGACATTTATAACAAACATTTTATGAAGAAAATCCCTTCTTCGTTTAAAATAAAAATAGGCGAAATCGGCCCAATTTCATACAACACTGCCTGACATGAAAATTTTCTCCACGATAAGACTAGTGGCCATCTCTAACAGATTTTGGGTCGCTTAGTCAAAAATGGAAACATATATACATATTTGAAATTTAAGAAAACAAGGCAAATAGCAAAATCGGCTAAAAACGGCTAATTTTTTTCTGCAAAACGGCTAACAAATCGGCTGCCGGCTAAATCGACATTTCTCCGGGTGTTTGGTATCGCAACCGGCTAAATCTAGCCGGAAAACGGCTAAAATGGCAACACTGCTCTTGTTATCGACCAATGACATGCTAAATAGTACAAAGGTACATTATTACCTATTTACTCCTGACATTATTTTATGTTACTTATCGGGATTCGGACTAGGGCTATATCTATCAATATTTTTTGTGAAGGATAGGTTCACGTGAAATATAAT